GTAAAGATGTAACGCTTTTGTTTTTTATGTAATTGAAAATTGAAACAATTGTTGTAGACGATTAACCATCACCCAGCAACAGTTTGTACATAGTAATCTGTGGCAGGGTAATTTTGTGTAAACATTAACTGGTTCAATGGAGTCTGGGGTAAGAAATAATTATTAATTTGCAACCACATGAACCCCACCCTGTCTGAAATGTTGTAAATTTGTTCCCAAAGCAGCAAATTTATGAATTGTCACAGATATAACGTGTAAGGTACACATTAGCCATTGTGTATAATGCAAATCTTTGCTATTTTAAAAAGGTTTCTTTAGTAAAATTTTATTTTAAAAAATGAAACCATGTAGAAATATTCTTTGAGTGCTGACTATATGTATCGCTAACTTAAGATATTTTAAAATGAATATCAAACATATGATCAAATCAACTGTGAGGTATAGTTTCCTTTTCTTCTCAGTTATAACTTATTTCTGTCATATGATCGAACGTTTATTTTATAATCAATAATATAATGTTAGAACATATGGTTTGGTTTTCTAAGATATTTCTAACAAAGAGAACGAAACTTTGATCAGTTATAGAGTAATTTTTTCCTAATCCACCGTATCGTTGACTTCAATTAAAGTTCTTAGTCTCAGTTCTAGAATTGATGTGAAAATTTTACCAAAATTATTTAATAGTAAAAGTACAACATAATTGTGGACGTTTTCAACATCACCTTGTTTTACAGCGGGATCAACATCTTCTGGAAATTCACCAATATCAAATATATGGTTAAATACGGTTACATGTCCATGGTATTTTCATAAAAATCAGGAGGGACAGCATCTATATCGGGTGCTTTGTCAGACTTCAATCCTTTACTTTCAGCTCTATATTCCATCGGGCGGTCGGGTAGCCTAGTGGTTAAAGCGTTCGCTCGTCACGCCGAAGACCCGGGTTCGATTCCCGACATGGGTACAATGTGTGAAGCCCATTTCTGGTGTCCCCCGCCGTGATATTGCTGGAATATTGCTAACAGCGGCGTAAAACCATACTCACTCACTCACTCCATATTCCATCATCAGTAATAGTTTTAGATTTCCACCGACCCGCTCTCAAGGAAGATGGCATAGTCGTGTAAAAGGAATAGTGTGAGCTGTTAATCACATACATTATTTCTGAATGTCTGGGAATTAAAGATTCATTCAATTAGAAGGAATCACATTCTGATTGGAAGTTGTATACCAGATGCATCAACATCACATTCCACAGGCAAAGTAATCAAACAGAACCAACAAAACCTTTTCTATAGTCATAAGAGTGAGTGAGTGAGTGAGTTGGGTTTAACGCCGCTTTTAACAGTATTCCAGTTATATCGCGGCGTATCAGCTTAATGTTGGAGGAAAGCCCGAAGTGATGCAGGTCTCAGGCGTTTACCACTTCGGTGAAACCCACGAGCACGGGTATGGTGCTGACAAACCTAGAAACATAATCGGGGCGAACCGGGATTTGAACCCGCAATCATAGAAATATTCGATTTCTGACTCCGACTGTATCATTAGCATGTGTTTATGAATCGCTATCAAATAGTGATGACACCAGGTGTTCGCGAAAAGGTGAGCGCATGCTGCCCACCATTGGCACCCGCCACAAACACATGCAAAGACAAGTCAATTGTTCACCTAAAAAAAACCGGGAGCATATGGTACAAGTCAAAATAGGTAATTGCATGGAAATGTCCTCCACATGTCTGACATAAAACTTGTTCAAAGTTTACTGAGGCCAGGATAGTTGTAACCTTGATCAAACAACTTCTGAGCAAGAGTTGTATGGCGCTCTTTGTAATGTTGGAAGAAAGAGCATGATCTATTGCTCTTCAAACATGTACAAACCTACGAATACCAAAATCTAAACTGATTACTGATGAATATATGCATATGAAACGTGATAACATTGCAAGCTTCTCCCGTTTCAGTGTGAAACACGGGGGTGCACGCAAACCCTTCCCCCACTCCCGCCCCCCACCATGAAGGTGAAAGTGCACAGTCATGTAACCCAGATGTCGCAAGATGCTACCTTATCTTCGCATGTTCACAAGATGAGATGGTAATTACTTAATAGCTCTATGATAATCTCCATTAATGGCGCAACGTTTGATGTATACTTTCTCCGTAAGAAAATTCCGTCTTCAGATAAAATACGATAAGATCATTTATATTGCAATACATTTCTTAAATAAAAGATGTAAATGTAAACAGCTACAATTTACATTTACACAAACTCATGAAAAATGCGTATATAAAACACAAGAATAAAACAATATATTTTAAAGATGGTTATGTTGATGTATTAGGATTTATTGGTTGAAATTATAAACATGTTAACAAATGGTATTAATTGAGGGCATGTTGGAACAGGCCAACTCAATGTAAGTATATTATTTTGGAAACTTCGTTAGCTAATAATATTATATAATACTATTCAATCTTGGCTATGTTTTATACAGTGAATAAGATCATTTACTACTGATGTGAAGTTGAGCAGTTGAGTCTTTGATGGATTGGTGTAGGCGGTTTTGTGCGTGTACCAAGCTCACTTTTAAGTTAATGGTCACTAAGTATCAACTTAACACGATATCTTCTTGAGATATTCTTAAAGAGTTCCTAACTTAATATCATTTTTAACTATTCTATATGTTCTTATTTTTTTCCTGAGCCAGTAGCCATAGATTCTGCATCTGAAAGAGAATGTATATTAAGGGTTTGGAATTTCTGTTGGATGGTTGGATCAACTACAAATAATGACGTTAATGCTGAGTAACTAAAATGTAGCGTTTGACCAGCAGCAAATAAACAATTCTTCTAAGGATTCGGGATTTACTTTTAGCAAAAGCGTTTCGGAGAATGATATTGTCTGAGGTGGTAATATGGTGGTGATTTACCATTTTAGCTATTGTACTACATAGAAGAGGATATTAACCTTACCCTGCTCTGCATGACCAGTTATGTGTAGTTCTACTGGCCCCAAACACTGAATTTGCAGAATCGAAGTTTAAGTTTTTCAGGAGTAAAAATGTTAATCTGTTTTATAGAATTGAACTAATGCCCCAAATTGCATTGATGTATTAAATGATAGGTTCTGTGAATGATTTGAATAGTTTTCATGCTTGATGTACTGGAATATCTTGATTGAAAATGGTAGTTTGGAGTTTGTGGTATGCTCCCAATCCTTGTTTAAACAATAATGTAGCGCCTTCCAGATGAACCTTCCAGATAGATCAAACGTTATTCCAAAATAACTATAATGATTTGTATCACACAATGTTTTACCGTTAATATTTTGCATTCAAATTACTGAATATGCCAAATATAATAACTTTATATTTATCTCCATTTATTTTTTATTAATGCAGAAGACACGAAGAGTATCAAGTGAGTGAGTGAGTGAGTGAGTGAGTTGGGTTTAACGCCGCTTTTAACAGTATTACAGTTATATCGCGGCGTGTCAGCTTAATGTGGGAGGAAAGCCCGAAGTGATGCAGGTCTCAGACGTTTACCACTTAGGTGAAACCCACGAGCACGGGTATGGTGCTGACAAACCTAGAAACATAATCGGGGCGAATCGGGATACGAACCCACAATCATAGGTTTCTGGCGTGTCCGAAGGGACGCAACTCTGCACAGCGAATCGCGGCGCCTTAGACGACTGGGCCACCCGTGCCCCCGAAGAGTATCAAGATTGGGTGGGCTGTCTACGAATAATAGAAACTCACCCGCAAGCAGTGACAATGTTGAGATCATGTAGAGTTACACTATTTTGCTTAGAATTAAGGTGTTGCTAAAGATCGTGTATAAATATGTTGAAAAGAGTGGGAAACAGGATACATCCCTGTCTCATCCAATATCAGATAGGAATGTTTGTGACACTCCCTTACTGGTATTTACTCTATATGAAATACGAGTCAGCATGAAGCGAATATTTAATATGAATTGCCTTCCTGGAAACACCAACTAATAAAAGTTTAGATGGCAAACGTGATCTATCTATTGTGTCAAATGCCTTTTAGAAATTAACAAAACATGTGTACAACTTCTTTTTAGCGATTTTGCTGAGACAAATAAGGTTCTGAGTACAAATCTGATATCAGAGGTCTGTTTTCTAAATCCAGACTGTGAAATGTCATGCATAGAGTTATTGTCCATGTGTTTGGCATTTCTTCCATTAATAATCTAACTAATAACTTCCCATACAACTGCGTGCAGCTATGCCTCTGTAATTAGATTTATTTGTTTTTAATTATCAAACACATTGCACGACCCTTTCAGCATTGATTGAGTAGTTAAAATAGCGTTACAGTTTGGAATGTGGTCATTATTTTCTGGATTAAGAAATCCTGATTAAGAGATCCACTTGCTGTCTACACCCTTGTACTGGCTGCACCTTTTATATTTTTTAGATAACCAAAGTTTATTTAATAATGTTCAAACCTATTTATCATGCCAAGGGTTTTAGGCAGATTATATACAAGTCTGCCTGCTTCTGTTGACACTATATTAATGAAGATAATATACCGGCATAGAAGGCATCAATGTGTGCTTCACAAGAAGCACTGTCATTTGGTGTTCAACAAATTATTTAGTGCCCACTGGTGTATGAAGGATGAACCCTATGTCAGTAGGAAGATCAGGCAAGTGGATACCATTACTATTATCTATGCATCCATCATCAGATACTACGAGGACATTGATATCCCCTCTAAGGATTATGTGGCCAAGTTTTGAGTATTTAATTATTTCCATCAAAATACTTTCTGACATAAGACGATGTACACGGGCAGAGCACATGCTCAAACAGATGCACCCCCCGCCGGTACAGGGAGAGGTACACTGGCGCCGTGGCAGGGGGTCGTTTCAAAGATGGCGGTTACCATCTCTGTCTATAATACCACATGGGGGTCAGTAAGTGGTATAAAACAGACCGATATTGAACGAGAGGGCATATTCAGTCTTCGCCTCCCGCCGTCAACAACCTACAGTCCGCTCCTTGAGATTATCTCTACAACTTTGTAGTATAAAGTACTTTCCGTTTAGATTAACGACTCACCACCAACCAAGTAACCATGGACGCCATCAAGAAGAAGATGCTCTCCATGAAGTCCGACAAGGACAACGCACTTGAAAAATCCGAGATGTTTGAACAGCAACTTAAAGACATTGAGGAACAGAAGGCTAAGGTTGAGGAGGACCTCCACGATCTCCAGAAGAAATTTTCCAATCTCGAGGTAGAATTTGACAACGTCAACGAACAGCACCAGGAGGCAAATGCCAAGTTGGAGACGTCTACCAAGAGAGTCACCGAGATGGAACAAGAGGTCAGTAGTACGTCCTCCAGGGCTACCATGTTGGAGGAAGATCTGGAGAGGTGCGAGGAGAAACTGCAGACAGCCACTATCAAGCTGGAGGAGGCATCCAAGGCTCAGGATGAAACGGAGAGATCACGCAAAGTTCTGGAGAATAAGAGCAGTGCTGACGATGAGCGCATCGATCAGCTAGAAACTCAACTGAAGGACGCTAAGTATATCGCCGAGGAAGCTGAAAGAAAGTATGACGAAACTGCCCGTAAGTTAGCCATGACAGATTCCGATCTGGAGCGAGCTGTCACCCGTTTTGAGGCTGCTGAAACCAAATCCATTGAACTGGATGAAGAATTGAAGGTCGTTGGAAACAACATGAAGTCCCTTCAGATCAGCGAGCAGGAAGCTTGCCAAAGAGAGGAGACTTTCGAGGAGACCGTCAAAGACCTGACCCACAAGCTCAAGGAGTCGGAGCACCGCGCTGCGGAGGCTGAGAGGACAGTGTCCAAACTCCAGAAGGACATCGACCGCCTGGACGATGAGCTACTTACAGAGAAGGAGAAGAACAAGGCCATCCATGACGAGTTGGACCAGACATTCGCCGAGCTCGCCGGATACTAACTGAATGTGTATTTCATCCATGAAAGATGTCAGTGTTCTTCACACTTCTAATGAATATTTTCTATACTGTGACTCGTCGGATACTGGATTTGGACATAACGGTGAATAGGAAAATTGTCACTTATTTATGTTAATTTATGCTTATATTTATTTCAACAATCTTGCCGTAATATTGATTGTTCCATTTGCCAACTATACACACATAAACCCAAAACGGTTGAACTAACAATGTGCTTTACAATAGTGCTTGTCAACAGGTGACATAAGGCTATACTCCGAGCGGCGTTTCTACCAGGAAAATATGTGCTCGTTACTGACTCCGAAGGATGTCAGTGACTTCTCTCCATATGCTGCAACCATACATGAAGTACTTGTGTTGATATATTGTCACAGCTAACGTGGCAGTATGTGGAACATCACTACCGCTCTTTCAACCATGTACATAGCAACTTTTAATGATCTGACCGATGTGCTGAAGTATAATTTTTGAAATAAACCATTTTGTTTCATATGTTTCGTTTGTCACGATGTTTCCCTTTGCTGTGGTGTTTGACAGGGGTATTTTCAATACCAGTTTATCCATTTGTGTTGTTTAAGCATGTGTTTTACTTTGGAAGGGTGGTATCATCACTGTTTGATGATGATTCATAACGTATGCTCGTGATATAGTCGGAATCGTACAATCAACTCTGCTTTTTGCAGAGATTATTCCATGAATATGGAAAGGGTTTTGTCGCTTTTATTTGTCTAAGTTAATGTTATTAGTTATCTGGATGGCGTTGCTGTAATCTTTATGACTACCCGTGTAGGATCCGGATGTACTAAATGACGTTATTGCATATACATATATCGAGGTAGATCTTTACGGATCTAGAACGTATTTCGATGAAGAAAGATGATAAATGCATGTTGATAAAATGTGAATAGACAAACGCTTAGTCACTGAAAAAATATAATTTTGATAGAAACAACCAACTACATTCAAATTGAAAAGGAGCCCCAGTGAGATGGGAGATATCGGAACCTGTGGAAAAATATCTAGACTTGCTTCATTTGGGGCAGTGGCACTACAGTAAGGGATGGGCAGAAGGGAAAATATTATGGTTCAGGAACTGCAAGACTGCTCATTTCTTTAAACATTCTTAGGAATCTAGATTGCCTAAACCAATGGCAATAAACACATGCATCTCTTTGCCAATCAGTATCCATGCACGACTAACACGCCCATCACCAACACATAAATCTGAAGTTTATGATTGTGGATTGACACTGATGCTGCGCATCACCCTGCAAAAACGGCGGGTCATACAACACCCCGCACGCCGGTCGTACAACACCCCACGCGGCGGTCAGATGTGGGCATTAACAAGGAGAAGCCAACTCATCTTATGCAATCGGTGCTGCAATAATCATTACCACGAGTAAGCAAGATCCTCGATTCTCTTGAACCGTAAAGAATTCATTACCTTAATGCATCACCCACGAACACATGTGCATACCACCTGCAGCTGATAATTCCAGGGGGTAGAGGGTCTTCTTCACTTATAGTCTTACTTCAGCCCCTACTCGAACCTCTCCCTCCTACTTCCCCGCCCACCCCCCAAACTCCCCACCCCGCCCCGCCCCCGCATATATCTTATGCATGTTTACAATAGACTTGATATGTTCTGGTACACGTAGCAATGTTATTGCATTCTCGTGAAGATGGATGGTATAGATATATTTAGGCATTTCATGTTCGGAATTTGCTCTTCACGAGTAACCTTTGTTATGATGTTGGTGACAGACATATTTGTGTAAACTCATTTCGACAATTTTGAGATATGTTTTACAGATGTATGGATATATTTTTTCAGGGTCTACATGACAGACTACATTGTACCAAATAATTATCTTGGCTTAGCTTGGTGCCGTGTAAATGCATATTGGGGTCATAAAAATGTGACGCATCAAAATGTCAATAATCAGACAGGTGTGTGTGTGTGTGTGTGTGTGTGTGTGTGTGTGTGTGTGTGTGTGTGTGTGTGTGTGTGTGTGTGTGTGTGTGTGTGTGTGTGGGTGTTTGTTAGTGTGTGTGTTTGTTAGTGTGTGTGTGTGTGTGTGTGTGTGTGTTTGTTTGTTAGTGTGTGTGTGTGTGTGTGTGTGTGTGTGTGTGTGTGTGTGTGTGTGTGTGTGTGTGTGTGTGTGTGTGTGTGTGTGTGTGTGTGTGTGTGTGGGTGTGTTAGTATGAGTCAGAGTACTGAGTGACCCGACCAAGCCTTGTATTAGTCCCTTAATGCCGAGAGCCACAGGCAGGACAACAACAAGTACCACATTTTAATATCTTTTTGTATGACGTGGAGGACAGAAATGGCAAATTGACTGCACACGTACATTTCACCTGTGTTGGGAATTGAAAGAGCGAACGTTTTAACCACAACAGGCTATTGGACTGCCATTGATACAACTCCAACACTTCTATATTAAAGTCGTGCAAGGCGCCGCAATTCGCTGTACAGAGCTATGTGCCGTAGATATGCCAGGTTCCGATGACCGTGGGTATGAATCCCATATTCGCCCTGATTATGATACTTGTTTTGTGTGTGTGTGTGTGTGTGTGTATGGGGGGGGGGGGGGGGGGGGGTGTCCATGGGGTGCATATTTCACACTGAGATATCATTCCCTTTCCTACTGACGAACATATCAACTTACATACATTTAAAATGTTATTCTTTAATCAAATTTTGATTATGTGTATATACAAATAGAGTAATTGTTTATGCTTGCTGATATTTCAATTCAAATTATGTATAATTTTGACCCTAAAAGAAATTAATCATATAAAATACTTATAATTTTCATATAATTCATAAACTTTTCACAGCTATTTTGCCTTTTACGTGTGTGCGTGCGTGCGTGCTAGTGTGTGTGTTTGTGGGTGTGGTATATGCGGTGTGTGTGTGTGTATGTGTGTGTATGTGTGGTATGTGCGGTGTGTGTGTGTGCGCGCGGATGTGTGTGTGTATGTGTGGTATGTGTGGTGTGTGTCAGTGTTCATTGCAAAGAACATATCAGTCAAATAAACGAATTCCGAAATGCAACTGATGCGTCATTTACACACACACATACTCACACTCTCACACACATATCTTAGATGTCATTATGGATACATAATCAGTACATAAAGGGCTGACCTGGTGTCCTCACTGATTTTCGGAGAACTGTGTCGGCAATTAATGGAGATGTGTTATACTCTGGCATTGACGTTTAATGTTTTTTCGATAAGCAACACTGGGCTATCCTAGGCAAGACACATATTTTACACCGCAATATCAAGAGTATTCTTAAAGTAGGTGAAGTCGGCTGGTTTACAACCCACTTGGACTACTTCTAATGTCCCTTCATGATTTAGCACGACACAAGTGGGCGCTTTAGTCTTCCCTGTGTGTGTGTGGGTTCCACTGCTCACCATTTGTCGGTTTGCTAGTTATAAACCATCACCCCCACCCCTTCCACCCACTACTACCCCCCGCCCCACCCCCACTTACTTAGGGACCAGTCATTTGATATTCTGGGGGTCGGGATCTGGGATTTTATCGACGAAATTATTGGCCAAGAAAATGCTTGACAAAAAACATTGTTGCAAGGTGTTTTGTTCAAAAGAAATATATAGACTCAAAGTGTCAGTTAAAATATTTGGTTTTGCAGCTGTAGCTGATTCAGTACAGAATATCAAATTGCCGGCCCCTTATGTAACAAAACGAAGACTGGAAGGAACAAAAAAAAACGGATTTTGTAACACAAACAAACAGTTGCAGCAAAGATTACAGAGGACCATCACTTTAATAACCAGTCCTGTTACACGTGTAGGAATATTCACACAGTGTCATTGCACATAGGCACCTACATGTGTGATTCAAGAGTGATGCTAGCATTGTTCAGATTCCTGGATTGCCGCAAATGGTTCGTGGTATTTAGATATATCACCGATAAACGTGAGATACTGTGACTTATCTCTGGAAATAGCGGTACCGTTGGTTTGCATAGTGGGTCACTGCTACCAGGTATAAGGGATGTAAGGGGTCTCCCAATTGTCCTCTGTTGCCAAGTAGTTGTCGCCGCAAACTCACAGAGGCATAACATGTTTGTCATAGGTCTTCTAGTCTATCTCACAGACATAAGAGAGCAAAATAAAAAGTGAATCTAACTCGAACCTAGAATGATTTGGCAAGTCTAGATTGCCTCAGCTCAGCCCTCAAATTCAGCATTTTTTCTGGGCTTCATTTGAATTATATATATCTTTAACCTAATGCATAACTATATATCACAAGAATACTCTTTTTTCAATTCTATGTGTGTTTCTATTGAAGGTGGGTACTCTAAGCGTTGGCAGGGAGGCATTCCGTGCGCGCCATGAAATGCATATTAAATACCCACAAGTTCAATGACAGCGACAAAACCCTTGCCATAATCAGAAGAAATCTGCATTGTGCGATTCCGACAATATCATAAAAATGTTTTTTGAATGACTATCAAATAGTGATGATCCCCTGTGTTCGCGAAAAGATAAGCGTATTCTGCCGCACCGGTGGCACCCGTCAAAAACACATGCAAAGGAAAGTAAATTGTTGGCCTGCAAAACAAGGGATTTTGTCACTGAAGCCTTAAATTCGGAAACGTCCACCATGTCTACTATAAAACATTTTGAAAGCTTTACTGAGCCCTTAAACTGGCTGGGAAGATGAATGTGAGCGTTCTCTTCATTGAAGTCGTTGATAACAGCAAGTACGCTCTGTAATATTATATGTTCATTGTACTTAGATTTCCATGCCCCCATTTATCTTATAAACTATATTGAAAATTCCCAGTTATAATCTCAATAATAATTATTGGAATACTAATGCACTATGAGCACAATCGGGTATTCTGAAGTCACGTACATGTGTCCACACGTGCTTGTCTGACAGATATATTTTGTAGATATGCCCTGTTATGACATACTCGATGTTCTGGTTTCTGGTTTTTGGAGTCAAATATTAAATATGTTTTTGAAATTACTCATACCACAACTCAAAGTGAAGTTTCCAGACCACAAGAGTGTTCCTTAAAAAACAGTGTTCCTATAAAATAGTGACCAGTTTGTTTCTAGACAAGATTTAAAAAACTTATATTCAGTAAAGATATAAAGTAGTATACAGTAAACTACGGTTATAACGAACTCAAAGGGACTACTAATTTTAGTTCGTTATAACCGTAGTTCGTTATCAGCATATATACAGTATAACAACAGCAAATAGTCGGGACCCAAAAGTAAGTTCGTTATATCCGTCAGTTCGTTATAAGCGTGTTCGTTATAACCGTAGTTTACTGTAGTTAAGTAATAGAAACAACAGCAACATTGACTTGATTTCTTAAAACAGTAATTAAAATATAACAATGAATTATTTATTTACCGACCAAAAAATAACTTACACGCTGGTTTACCTGATGGGGATAACATCCAGCATATTGCAGTAAAGTTGCTGACAACGGCAGACAATATGCACTCACCGACGAGAAATTGATTTCCGTTAGTACTTCCTGGAAACTACAAAAGCCACGTGTGTGTGAAAAGGTGCTGTGAACAGTAATGGTGTCACACTGGGTGGCAGGTCGTATTCAATATATGAACAACTTGTATCATGGACTTTCAGGTTTTATTCACAAATGAACAGTTGAATGTCTGTAGACTTACTGTATAAATAATAAATAGTTGTAATGAGTTGATACAATTTTGGCTATTTACAACATTCAGCAGTGGATGGGTACATTTAAAATCAAAGAAAGCTTGATATTGTTCATGTGAGATTCGAAGTTTCAAGTATAAACTTGAGTGTTCAACCAGGCCTCCAGTGGTATCCATTGTATCCGAGCAAGCAATCACTGGCATCACTGACTCATGAGATGACAATTACAAGCATCACACAAAGTAGACAAAAAGTGTTTACCGTTTGAGCACAGGGTCTCACAGATCAGTGACACATTACAGAAAATATCCACTGGAGATTTGAAGAACACCGGCAAGTTTCCTGTCTGTAGTACACATTCACAGTTAGTATCCGGCGAGCTCGGCGAATGTCTGGTCCAACTCGTCATGGATGGCCTTGTTCTTCTCCTTCTCTGTAAGTAGCTCATCGTCCAGGCGGTCGATGTCCTTCTGGAGTTTGGACACTGTCCTCTCAGCCTCCACAGCGCGGTGCTCCGACTCCTTGAGCTTGTGGGTCAGGTCTTTGACGGTCTCCTCGAAAGTCTCCTCTCTTTGGCAAGCTTCCTGCTCGCTGATCTGAAGGGACTTCACGTTGTTTCCAACGACCTTCAACTCTTCATCCAGTTCAATGGATTTGGTTTCAGCAGCCTCAAAACGGGTGACAGCTCGCTCCAGATCGGAATCTGTCATGGCTAACTTACGGGCAGTTTCGTCATACTTTCTTTCAGCTTCCTCGGCGATATACTTAGCGTCCTTCAGTTGAGTTTCTAGCTGATCGATGCGCTCATCGTCAGCACTGCTCTTATTCTCCAGAACTTTGCGTGACCTCTCCGTCTCATCCTGAGCCTTGGATGCCTCCTCCAGCTTGATAGTGGCTGTCTGCAGTTTCTCCTCGCACCTCTCCAGATCTTCCTCCAACATGGTAGCCCTGGAGGACGTACTACTGACCTCTTGTTCCATCTCGGTGACTCTCTTGGTAGATGTCTCCAACTTGGCATTTGCCTCCTGGTGCTGTTCGTTGACGTTGTCAAATTCTACCTCGAGGTTGGAGAATTTCTTCTGGAGATCGTGGAGGTCCTCCTCAACCTTAGCCTTCTGTTCCTCAATGTCTTTAAGTTGCTGTTCCAACATCTCGGATTTTTCAAGTGCGTTGTCCTTGTCGGACTTCATTGAGAGCATCTTCTTCTTGATGGCGTCCATGGCTACTAGGAAGTTTTGAAAAACCTAAGACTCAATTGAAAAGGATAGTAAGTAAAAGTTTTACAGTTGTCGAGAACGCTCCAACAACACAGGATAACGATGCTACAAATCACTGAGGCTGCAATAGACCTGTCTGTTGGAGGCAGAAGCTGAATATGATTGTCCATCAGTGTCAGCCAGTTATAAATACACAAGAATCTGACCCCAACATCCTGACCCCCGTGGAGGGGTGAGCGTGTTGCGGTACCAGGGCAGGCCATCTGGACCGACGGGCGGCCCATCTTGAGTAAGCGTTATGCAACAGTTAGCTGAAATCGCATCCACTGGAAGGTCACGGTAATGCTTTTGATTGAACTTGCCTGGATGTTTTAACAACAACGTCACATGACGAGTGGAGTTGTAAGTTGGAATTATTTGGAATTGCATCAGGGAATGCACGGCTCCCATCACTGTAATGCCTTCGCCGCCACGTGGGAAGGGGAATGTTTACTGAAAATATTTGTTCACAGGTCTGTACATATTAGTTTTCTGTAATGAACACAAATACTGACGGAACTCCAACACGTCCTCGGACAGACAGTGATATATTTCATCGTGGCGTATTTTGCATAATCATGAAACCTTTATTTATTATAGTTTGTAGTGTTTGAGTATCAGTATTAAATAAGTATAAGTATCAATGCGTCCTAAATAAATAACAATATTAGACACAACTGCATGTGTGTTGCATGGAAGCGTGTTGGTGCCACATTAAAAGAAATATCATCTACGTTGATATCGACGTTCAACCAATTATTTGTACGTGTGTGTGTACGTATGTGTTTATGTGTGTGCGTTTGTGTGGGAGCATGTGTGTGTTTGTGTGTGTATGTATGTGTGTGTTTATATGTGTGTATGTGTGTGTTTGTGTATGTGCGTGCATGCATGTGCGTGCGTACGTGCATGTGTGTGTGTGTGTGTGTGTGTGTGTGTGTGTGTGTGTGTGTGTGTGTGTGTGTGTGTGTTGACAAATTCTATTGACATGTGTGTTTTGCAACACAACCCATCCACATTACAGCAATTATTAAAGTTTAAATATATACTGTAAAACATATCAATAAGACAGAAGATTCATTGTTTGGGGTGAAAAGCAATTCGCTATCGCCGAAATATGTTACTCGGGGAAGGGACATGTATCAGGTACCGTGTGTCAGCGGTGTGATCGTCTTCACCACGGTGAAATATACAACTTAATATCTACTGACGTAACATGAAGTCTATGGTGTGCTGTCCACGTTCGCAATATATACTACTCTACGTTAGATAGGGATATTTGTTTTTATCTTTCCATGATACACAAATAGAGAATCTCACCCGAGTGTCTTTTGATATCAAATATATCAACACGAGTTGATAAAAGTGGAAAAATCCGAGGCTTGCCGAGGATTTTTGCCACTTTTATCAACGAGTGTTGATATATTTGATATCAAAAGACACGAGGGTGAGATTTTATTTATCATCCAACATCATTCTTTCAACTTTTTCAATTTGTAGACAGTAATTAGTAGTGTCTTCAGTGTAAAAAGTACTGCAAACGGCTTCAGTAGCAGAGCCATTAGTGATGTCATTTGATTGTGACGTCATGGTAACCAGTGATGTCACAATGGTCTGCAAAGCATTGTGATGTAATTTCATTGCAGCGATATCTACAGTGTAGATATCGCTTGATCTCATCCAAGCGATATCTCCTGTGGGAGCCAGTTTTGGATGATAAATCTTATTCTCATAATTATCGCTATCAAAAGTTGAGTAGTATAACCGCACCTTTCAGTTCTATCAGAATCTGCCACAATTGTACGCCTTGTATGCTCTCAATGACGATCATACTGTGTCATCGTTGTTCCAATGTCGTTTGTCAAATGTTAAATGATATTTCGTGACTGGAACCTGTGTTATTAGCGACTGCAACCACTAGGGGTCGATGTCGAGCATACTGATAAATATATATACTTTGTTTTGTCTGTCCGTTTGTTTGTATGCACACTCAGCAATATTCCAGCTATATGACGGCGGTCTGTAAATAATCGAGTCTGGAACAGACAATCCAGTGAATGAGCATCGATCAATTGGGATACGATGAGAGGTAATTAACTAAGTCAGCGAGTCTGACCACCCGATCCCGTTAGTCATCTCTATCACTTATAGTGCCTTTTACGGCAAGCATGGGTTGCTGAACACCTATTCTACCCCGGATCTTCACGCGGTAATTGTTAGGGTCTCCTGTAAAATATTCAAGTATAAACCGCCCATAAATAGACTAAATAGCTAACTTTAAATAAAAAATTGTTTAAAATAACACATCAACGCTGTAGTATATACTAAGTATATTCTCAGGGTATAATCATGTATATGAACAAGTGTGGTTCCAGGTTAATTGTGATAAGATACATCTGCAGTATGACAAATGCCCGCGAATAACTTTTGAAGCAGTCGTGAAAAACTTCATTTCGAATTATGATTTTCGTCCACACTCCGTCGCAGTGGTGACTCAGCAAAACACCACTGCCACAGGCTAATTTGCATATCACGTGACCGGACTTTTCTCTTGTTTGTTAACAAACGCGCTTTTTCAGAAATCAGTATAGAACGGACTAATGCAAGTATTTGGGGGCGCTTTACATATTGTTTTGCATAACTATATAGATATGCTACTACAACTGCGACAGTGAGTTGCATGACAATATATATTTATGCATCAAAGTGACCGTGTCGCTAGCTCTCCGTTGGGCTTCGATGACAGCACGTGGAGCCGTACAACCAATGTAAACATAGGATAACTACGCAAAAACAAGTAGATTTTTACGTATTTGCATACTTTCTCAATGAAAGTTAACCATTCTTTGACATTTGTTTATGAAAATGTGTAGACTTGTCCAACATGAAACGGATGAAAAGCATATGCAATATCTTGAATGGACTGTGAAAGATGAGACGAATCGTCACATGGCGCTGGCCTGTGGCAGAGGTACTATGCTAGCTGGCTGCCGGCCGCATGGAACTCTGGGTAGGAGAGTGATTTTCGTCGTGATACTACGGATTGATGGACGGCATCAACATATGGTTTTACGGCCATACTTATTTGAGACAACAACTGGTTTTTTTATATGTGCATGGGTATAATCAAGACGTCAATATGAGACTGTTGTAACACATAGTTTCAACATGTCCATAACAGATAGTATACCGATTTTGTTTTTGTTATGTAATTGAAAGAACTGAAGTTAAATTTGATTATGTCCGCTTGGAATGGTTGTTATATGAAACTAATCATCACTCATTCCTGCAACAGTGTGGGTAATCTGTGGCAGGGTTTTGTATAAAGATATATTGCTTCAATGAAGACTGGGGTAAGAAATGAAGATACATCCCTGCCCTGTTTGTAATAATGTAAATCTGTACCCCAAAAAACAAATATATTGATTTTTCAAAGATAAAATGTCTAAGATACCCATCATCAGTTGTGTATTATGCGAAGAATATCAAGAATCAAATTATATTTAAAAAAATAGATCCATATGGAAGTTTTCTTTGAGTGCTGACTAACCCCAGTACAGTTCATGTTTTGGATATAATATCACTAACGTAAGATATTTTCTATTTAAAATAAAAGATGACATGAAATCAACTGAGAGATATTGCTTGTTTTGCTCCTCTGTTTATATACGTTATCCACACAACTTGATGGTTACCCCAGTGTATAGTAAAGTTATAACATATAGCAGACCGGGTTGCTGTGTTTCCATAATATATACTAGTGTGGGTGCGTGTGGACTTTGGGTGTTTGTGAGTGGTGTGTGTGTGTGTGTGTGTGTGTGTGTGTGTGTGTGTGTGTGTGTGTGTGTGTGTGTGTGTGTGTGTGTGTGTGTGTGTGTGTGTGTGTGTGTGTGTGTGTGTGTGTGTGTGTGTGTGTGAGGATTGTTGGTTGGTGTACGGGGGTAGGGTTGTCAACGTACATTCACTTCCCCCCTTACCCCCTTAAACAAACATTCACCTCACCAGGGGGCAAGCCCATACACGGTGTGCGATGTAACCAGAGAATCGGTAGGCGTCATATGATTTACATACGATGTTTCACATGTCTATTACATGTTTACGGTAACTTGACCTATGTGTACGGGGAGCCTTGCGGGCACCCGGTTACCCATTTGGAAGTGGACTTAAATTCAGGGACCGTTGGGCGTGTTTGTGGACTATTGGATGACCTGGAACTTCAATTTTTAGGACTTCAGCGAGAAGTATTAATGACTTTGTGGCTTCGTTCTTTCTGAAACATACCATGAAGTAATAATGAAACATATGAATCATATTCTTTTGGCTTTTAAAAGAAAGATGAAAAGCCGATTACTCTCAGTCTTGATTCAAACTTTGAAGAGTTATGGCAGTAAAGATGCCAGCACCTCTTCATGCTTTGTAACAATGTTTGGTGACAGTGATGCATTAATGAATCACAACTCCAAATATATGTGTTGTGGTCAAAATGCAATATATTTCATGAGACAATAAAATATAGCCAGAGTTCTTCTCTACCCTTACATCATTTGGTCTAGTCCACAGCAACTAGAGGTGTGTGTATAACCTTTGCATATTCGAGACTTTATCAACCACATTAGACCTATTACTAATATTTTAGGTTCTTGTTTAGGGGTGATGGGGGAGGGGCACGGGTGGTCCAGTCATCTAAAACGCTGAGCAGAGTTGCGTCCCTTGGGCACGCCATGATCATGGGTTCGAATCCCGGTTCGCCAAAATGATGTTTTTTGTCAGCATCGGACCCGTGCCCGTGTGCTTCTCCGAAGTGGTAAACGTCTGAACCCTGCATCACTTTGCGCTTTCCTTCAATACTAAGTTGACATGGCAGGATATAACTGGAATAGTGTTCCTTGCGGTGTAAAACTCACACAAGGGTTTAGGGTTCATTATATGAAATATGATAAAAAAAATAGAAAACTTCTATGTGCATATCTATGGAGATACGAAATCAATCAATAATCAAAATGATTGAACAAAAATATTACCACCATGTGCCAAGAACACATGCATTTCATCAGCTAAAATAATTAAAAAACAAATAAGTAAAATACCCAATTAGAAATACACTTAGA